AATTGAAGATGCCACTCAAGCCACAAAACTTATTGAATAGGAATAGCTGCATAAGAAAGCAACGGAGGCTACGCTGGCCCTGAGGAGGAGACCTAGGTTAGAGGTCAGGGGTGTACCTCACTTGTGGACAGCTGAAGAACAAGAGGGAAAGTTATAGGAAAACTTAGCTGAAATTTCTGTTCCAACACAGATAGACAAGAAAGCATACATGCAGCCACTAGTCTGCGCAACAGCCAGGAACCGCATCACTAGGAATTGGGTGTTGGAAGTGCACCCAATGATCCGATTTAAATTGAGAGAACAAACGATAGCCGGAGGATGGTGGAAAAGCCAAATAATTTTATACAACCATTTTATTCGATGCATTATAATCACCTCAATTATATTAACCGAATACAGCTCACGTGATTCGGAGGGCAGCCGTTTAAATTCTACAGCTCACTCATCCTTCTTCAATCCAAATATTCTATGAAATACTTTATTTTTTAAAACATTGAGACATTGCTCATCCCTTAATATAAGTGTCCAGGTTTCGCAACGATAAAGAAGCATAGGTAAGATAATGGTTTTGTTAATTCCAATTTTTAACTATAGAGACAGAAGGAACAAGCTTAAGTAAAAGACACAGTTATGAGTTCAAAAATAATTTGGAACTAAACTACAAAATTATAGTAGTATAGTAAGTACACTACAATCAGCACCGAGCATTGTCCGGAACCTGATAACAGTAATTTGAAATAGAAAAATAAACACGAGTTCAAACCACAGTGCCCTGTGGGACTTTACTCGACATAATTTTCCTTCCCGGAAAAAAATCCGTGTGGCCTAAGAGGTAAAGAAAAGAAGACAAAAAAAAAGGGCACTTCACTGTTTCTAGACGGTTCTAAAAAAAATATTTTGGATAATCTGTATTTAGACCATTTATTTCCGGATTTAAATTGTTCTTGTTGATACATTTTTAAAAAATCATAAATAATTATAAAAATGTACTGATGTGGTGGCATCCGATAGCAGAGCAGGGGTCATACTGGAGGCAGAAAGGTACCTTCATAGATACCTGGTGTGCAAGTAGGAGAATGAGGATGGCTGCTGCCAAAACCCAAGCAATTCTATTAAATGACACGAGTGAGTGGGAACATCCAATCCCCTTGGAGATATAAAGAGAAATATTAGTCCAAGTGAGGTGATAACCTACCTTGGCGTAAGATTTGAAAGAAAGTTTAATATAACACCTCACTTAGACTACTTGGTAAACTGAGTGACTAGAGTAAGCGATTAAAGTCAAGCTTTCTGGGGCCTTAGATACCCAAAGATCATGACTGTCTACAAAGGAGTAATGCTGGGTATATTAAGGTATGCATCCCCTCATGGTACCTGAAGCTCCCCTACCGAAAAAAGAGCAAGTTAGCATCTATCCCGAGGACGGCTCTGATGTGGATCATCAGAGCATATAAGACAGTGTCTCACTAGGCAGTGCAGATCTTAGCAGGGGAGATACCTCTAGATCTCCTCCTGCTAGAAGGCTTGATCAAATATGTCTATAAGAGAGAAGGCTTGGCAGAGATTCCGGAGGACCTTCGAGTGAAGATTCAGGTTTGGCCCAATAGATGGAAATCAACATTGAGGGAAGCTACCGTCGAAGAGTGGACCAGGAAGTGGATCACTACCACTAAGGAATTATTTTCCCACATACAGTCTTGAATAGCAGCTTGATGGATCAAACCAGACTGGGTCCCTCAATTCCTCATTGGACATGGGAGTTTTCGTGCCAAATTACACAATCATGGACAAAACATCTATTCTCTAGGCATTTGAGGCACTGAGGGCTAAGCTAATGAGGAGCACAAAAATCTACAATATCAACGAAGGAGATTTATCTCGACTTGTCACTGCAACTATCTACACTACTGTGCATTCGTGTATGGGTGGAAGGAAAAAATAGGCAAAGTATCAATTAATCAATATAGGATTAAGACAGAGGCTTCCCCAATCTAAATCTGGGATGACTCCAGGATAGAAATATAACAAGAAAAGAGTTAAATTTTATTGTTGTATACAATAAAATGGAATCCCTATATGTCAAAAAGACAAGGAAGGAAAAGGGAAATAAATAAAAAATTAATTCCTTTAAGATGATCTCAATTTTTTTTATGATAGGGCAGTTGAATTAAGGACTAACTATTATTCTTTTGCTAAATTACTAACTTTAGGAACACCTCCAGGATACGATATTTCTCCAATTTCATGGGAAGTCTTGGTAAATAACATGTTTGGCTTACAACTACCAAACAGCGTGCACATTTTAGCATATGCTGATGAAACCTCAGTCACCGCAATCATTAGATTATTCTCTGAAATAGAATTAATCAACTAAACTCTGTTAATTCTAGGAAAATGGTCTAAAGAAAACAAACTTGACTTTAACGCAGAAAAATTAAATTACATTATCTTAAGTTAAAAAGAACAAATGCCTGAATTAAATATCCAAATGAACACTAAAACGCTAGAAATAATTTAACATATTTGGTACTGAATTTTTACATAAAGTTCAATTGGAAAAATTATATTCATGGTACTGTAAACAAAACTAAAAAAACAATAAACCCATTTGGTAACTCAGTTAAAATAAAATGGGGGTTAGGATCTGAAATTTTAAAAATTATATATGAAGGTGCCATATTACCACAACTTCTTTATGCAATACCTGTGTGGTTACCAGGCGCTTTAAATACAAAAAATCTTAGAACTGAAACTAGTACAAAGATTAATAGGCATTCAGGATTATCCATATGATCTCTTATGAAGCTGCTTGCATCCTTGCTGAGATCATTCCAATAGAATAACAATTTTAATGTTAAAATACTTTTAATATAAAAACATCTTTTGTATGTTTTTACTTTTTTTTTTTTAAGAAAATAAAGTTTCTTTGTTGACTGAATATAGACTATAATATATGGATATTCTCTAAATATCTAAATTATATGATGCTTTATTTGCTTCTAAATTGTATAAAACCTCCCATTATATTTTATTGTTCTCCCCTTTTTAAAACAGGGCAAGCAAATGTGGAATTTAAAAAATCATAAATTATATATAATTACACATCCTGCAGACTGTTTCATAACTTCCCTGGTCCTTTTGGTTGGAAACTTATAATTTCAAATATTCATGATCCCCTCAAAATGTACCCCGTCAAAAATATTGATGGTGCAACTTGCACCATGGAACCCCCTTCTGAGCACCCCTGTTAGTGCCTCTATAGGGACAGACAAGAAGGGTTTCCAAACAAATTTTTGGTGATATCTGCTTATTAGCAAAGAATAAAAAAATATCTTATTGATATATGTTTGAACGATTAAAAGCTGAAGTTGAAGCTGTTGTAATAAAAATTAATGAAAGTAAAACAAATCATATGTATATAAGTATGGATAGTCACTGAAGAACAAGACAATATCTGATTGTAAAAGAATACTCCTCTAAAAATTTAAAGACTTTTACATATTTGGGTGCACAAATGTGAAAATAAAATTTTGATAGCACGAAAAAGGATTGCAGGACCAACAAGGTAACCAACTTTATTTTATCAATTTAAAAGTTGTACAGTCAACTCTGTTACAAGCAACAAAAATGCATTTGTATAAAACAGTAATTAGTCTTATTATAACATATTCTACTGGAAACATGGACCAACCTTCTGTACATCTACAATAAATATTTTTAATACAATACAATAAAAAAAAATTTTAAAGCTGCATTTTAAAGAGAATATATGGACCAGTAATCAATGAGGGTGAATGGAGAAGCTGGAATTAGTGAATTATATGAGCCTTGAATAACTAAATGGAATTTGTGAGGTAGTGCAGTTTATAAAGCACAAATTCAGATTATAGAAGTTTCAGGACGACAACATTACGAAAATGTTCCAATTGCCAGTTTCAACATTTGTCTTATGTCGTCGTCCAGAGCCTTCTATAGTCTGACGATATAGTTCTGGCAGATACATGAAAAAAGCTGTTGCTAAATTTCAGAGAAATAAAAGGATTATCTGTAGGTTGATAGGTGGAAAAGTAGGAAAATCTATAAATACTAATTGTTCACTCAATCTGCAACAAAATATTTGCGGTATTGAATAACCCATTACATCACCAATAGTATTCTTTATTTTATAACTTGACTTCATTTCAGCTAAACTGGAACCATTTTGAAGTTTACGAAAAAAAAAATTCTTAATCATCATATAATTTAAAAAATAAATAAAAAAACCTGTACCACTACAATCCATGAAAGATCTTTGGTTTAGTAATATTGAGGGAAAGTACTGTTTCAAGGCAAACAATTGTGCAGAGAGGGGATCAGGCCAGGATCACGCTCAACTGCCAGGTTTTTCCCCTTAATCGATTATTTAATTAACGGTACCCATTTTGTAGAGGCTGGGTGTACCCAAGGAGGGTATCCCAACCCGAGGGTCGCCCTATGGCCAATTAAACAGAATAAATAATTTTTCTGCCACGGGCCGGGATTCAAACCAGGGACCTTGAGCATTGGAAGCTTAGTGCTCTACCACTGACCTACCCCGCTCCCTCATCATATAATTAGGACACCAAAAATAAAGTAAAATTGAAAACTCACCAACCTGGTTCTCAATAGTGCTTGGCTTATTTATATGTTGCTATAATTGTACACTATGATTGACTCTTTAGTGTTGACATATAACTGTTATGGGTTTGTGAGATATTAAGACAAAACAGTCTAGGTTCGATGTAACTGTAATGGATGCCACTGGCAAAGCCAGACCCAAGCCAAGCATGCTCAAGCTACTTACATTACAAACTATTTAAATTAATAAAATACATATCTCATTTATACAAGTAATAAATAATAAAGTAATTTCCCACAACAGTAACACATGTAAAAATGGCCTTACATCAAGAAAAGGAAAGAAGATGGGTTGAAAAGCTCCATACTTGACAACTTTTAAAACTACAAAAAATGTGATTAGCAGACATAATTTTCAAATATTTTTCGAAGAGGAGACCCTCTTTTGATAAAGGGGCTCCCTTTCACCTTATATCTGAAGGCATCCATAGGAGGTAGTCCAAAATGATAGGAAGGAATTGGCAATGCTTGTTATTAGCATTTGTAGAACCGGAGCGATGTGCAGTATTGTCTGAGAATTCAGAGCCCACCGTGGGTTGTTGTGCCAGTCAGTAAGTAAATAAAAATGGTCTATTAAAAAAAAAAATGATATTAAATGCTTTCTCATAATTGCAATTTTTGCAACGCATAAGTGCAATTTTTGCAACGCATAAGTGCAATTTTTATATAAAATTAGTACAATACTTACTGTGATATTCAATGTCTTATGTTATTCTATAAATAAAAAGTATTTACTGAAGATTCATTGAAAAATAATTTTTTTTCTTTATTAGAATTATATCTAAAGGAACATTTCAAAGATAAAAATGAAGATACATTAAACAATTTGTTTAAATAACAGAAAAAATAAATTTAAGCCAAGAGTAGTTCTTTCAAAATAAGTATTTGAATATTATATTTACATATTTGTTTTTAGTTATAAGGACAAAACAATAATTTGTTTAAATCAAAATATTTTAAAAACTGGTGAACAACACCCTAATCAATCACACTTTCAATGATAAGAACAAAAAAAGTGGAATTAGTTTTTTAAAAAGATGAATAAAAGATTTAAAATAAATAAATACAATTCAGTTAAATTCTTTGAAGAAACAAAAAGGCAGGAAGTGTGTTAACAGCACATCCTAATTCCCAAAATTTCTTCATTTCAAACTGTAAACTGCTTATTATATATTGGCTGAGATGTTCTCTATTAATCGGTGTACTCATGAATAATATCAATCATGCTGGTGTGAGTACCAAATACAATTGCCATAATTCCAAATATGAAAATCCCTATGTTTTTCCAGAGAATCCATTTTCCAGGGCCAAAACCTACGTCATAGTATAAAACAGTTTCAAGAGTAACTGGAACAAGAAGGCCTAGAAATCCAAAACATAGAGCACCGATCAGACCCATGAATGGTCCAATGGTAGGAACAATTACAGCCAGTAGCACTAAAACAAAATTTAAAAAATCAAATATAGCTTAAACTCAGAGTTACATTGACAGAAATTATAATTATTTTAAAGAAAATAAATTTATTTCAAATATAGAAGTTAAATAAGTAATTTATAGATACAAGACATTTCTATTTGAATGGATAACTACTGTGAATTACTTATTTATTTATTTCTAACAATGGGTGCTTTTCACCCACTTATGGATCATTTTAGCCCTTGCACAATAACAAATTTAACAGTAAAAGGTATAAAACATTAAATTTACAAAAAATAAATAAATTTTGTTATATAGCTGTGTTTTCCTCTTACCATTCTATCTTTTGTAGAAATTATATTCTCGCAAAACAGAGCTATTACAAATAGTCTTTGAAGTGTATTTTTCAATGTAGTGTATTTACCTTAAACCTTAAAGAATACTTGAATTTTGGTCATATTTATCAATCCATAAACACATTAAAGCCTTCAAAATAATAAAAACCTGATTCCATTATATTGGCAATAAAACTCTTGTAATTCCATCAGCGTATTTGAACCAGACAACATAAAATTACATGAAATAAATTTTTATAACTTCATACATGTTTTTAAAATTTTATTTTTAAAGGAATTCTTTACAACAAAATTGCATGTTGAAAATCTTTCAAATTATTTTTTCTCAGAATGAAGTTATATGTTTTAAAGTCGATTTATCATTGGTTTCTCAAATTATTAAATTAAGCATTTATGTCCATTTTATTAGAAATATAAGTATTTAAAAATTTACCTGCAGCAAAAGTAATGATCGTCCTTACAACATACTCATAAAACCTTACATGGGTTTTAAAACGGTTTTTGAGAGCACCCCACACAATTTCAAGGCATACATAATATTGAAGGCCAAATGTGCAGAAAACAGCTAGAGCAACAAGAATTTTCACAGCCTGTGCAGCACTGAAATAGAAGTAAAAACTTATAAACAATTTTTTTGATTCACTTTATGGCAAACTTTGGGTAAACAAGTTTTCCTGCCCCTGCAGGGCTAGAAAATTATAAATTACAAATTGTAAATTAATTTCTGAACGACTTCCATCCTGTTTCTCTCCTCTCAACATTTCAAAAATGTTGGAACACCTTGTCCAAAATCAAATTTACAAATTCCTAAAGGAGCGTTCCCTCATCTACCCATTCCAATCTGGTTTATGTCTTAGCTACTCAATGCAATCCCACAGTCCCTCATACATCACCGAGTTCCTTAAATTCAAATCCTCTGTTCACTCATGCAATACCCATTCCCGGTCTTCAGATTTATATACAATGGCAGACCGAACCCCTGCCTTCGACAGATCTTTCGTTGTTTGATCCTCATACCTATGGAATTCCATCCCTTCCTACATCGGTAGCTCTAATACCCTCCCTATCTTTAGATCCCAAATATCCAATCCATCCAGTCCCCATAAAATTGCAAATAGATATATCTGTAAATATGTAAATAATTTATCTATAAAACATGAAATAACATATATATTAGCAATTTGTTTCCCATTATTTTTGCTTCATGTTTCTTTCATTTATTTATTTTTTTTTTTTTAACCGAATAAAGTAACTTGTACTTTATTTATTATATTTATTTACTTTCTGATTACTGTTACATATCTCCGAAACTCTAAAGCCCACAATTTTTGCCTTTGTATATTGTTCTAAAGGGACTCGTCCCAGGATAAATAAAGTATTATTATTATTAAAAAGTAAATTGCAGCAAAAGATTGAACATTAGTAAAAAAAAAAAAACACATTAAAAATTGGCAAAAATTAAGTAAACAGAAACAGATTACCTAAAGGGCTAGCACAGACAGGTCCAGAACTAGGATTTCTGCCAGGAGGAGCATGTTTCCTTCCCTTTTATCTCCCACTGAACCCCAATAAAAATTGTTTCATAAAAATATTTCAGGTAATATATTTTAAAACATATCATCATCCTATGACATTAAGTGATTATATATACAGAATCAAGGTGAAAAAATAAACAAGTATCAATAAATATTGTTAAGCTAAAAAATAATTTTGCTTGAAATTTGCCTCCCTCTAAATTCTACCACCCATGGCAAGTATTCCCTTTGCTCCTCCCCAGTTCTGGCCCTACATACAGAGAACTTTGAATGAACTGATTACATTTAAAAACCAAGTATTTTTTTTAATTGATAAAAGTAGTAATTATGAATACAGTATGGACATTATTCAGGAAAAACAGGATAAGATAATAAAAAAAAAAATTAACTCTATAGCACTTACTAATCTTCTGTTGGAAGATTCAGGGTAATACTGCCAAGAACTTCATCTCCATACTTTAAGTAACCCATGAAACCTAAGAGGATGTAGATTATTGTTACAACAATCATAGCCATATCTAGAATGCCACAAATTCCAACTAAGTGTTTAGGAGTCACCATATTATTTTCTAGTGGCAATACCTGAACATCATAATCCACAATATAAAGCCTATAATTGAAATTATATAATTTAACATCTATACCTTAGGAATATACACCTAAATCAAGCATAAGTACTGCTTAAGAAAAAACTAAAAGATAATAAAACTAATGAGATTAAAATTAACAAACATATTTTCGCTCGGTTCGCAGAAATAATGCATTACTTTATTTCTTCTAGCATATTTTTGTAATTGACTTGGGATCCTAAGTAGATAAATGACTGCACCTTTTCGATTCTGTGTGGACCTATTGTAATATACCTTTCTGTACTTTCCTCAGGTGGTGGGGTGGGCACTCATAAATTTGGTTTTATCTTTAGGCAAAAGTTAACCACTGATTTTTTTCAGAGCCTCAAAAGCTTCCTTCACTGTGTAGTGGGATCTTCCTGCAAGGTCCAAGTCATCCAAAAATCCCAAAACTTGAGTTGATTTGTTTAATAGAGTTCCTTCTGTCTGGATACATGAGTCTTCTTCTTTGTCTACCTCTAATGCCATTCCTAGCATCGAAGAGCCTCACATCTCTGTCCTGACTAAGTTGCCTCATTTCTTGGTGAGTTTTCTCTCTCTAGAATTCTGATAGGAAAATCTGGGATGGTCAGACCAGGGTCTTACAGAGCTTGATCTTGATCTAGCTAGAGAGCCTTCTGCTTCTAAAATGTTTCATATAGCCAAAGTAGCAACACTTAGCTGCTGCAATACTTCTATTTACTTTCTGGGAAGTTGATTTCCAAAACCAAATAGATGAAGCCAGGGGTGCCAATCTCTCCAAAAGTCGATGGCGCATGACCCTCTCCCCCCTACTATTAAGATAATTTATTTCTCTCCTCTTATTAAAAACAGTGTAGCCGAAAATAAAATTTTAAAAATTGTATGTCATATACAATTACACTTTCAGTGGTCTGTGCTATGCTTTCCAAAATTTCATAACCCCTTCGAAATGTGCCACCCAAAAATTCAAAACCATGTCAAAATTTGCCCCCCTCAAAAATTTTGATGGCGCAAGTTGCGCCATGAAACTCCCTTGTGGGCACTCCAGGGTGAAGAAGCTGCTGGCCTTCTGAAAGCGGCACTCTATTGTATCAAAATATTCAACTCCTGGTTTGGCTCCTCCAATCCGCATGTGTTTCGTCGTGATCCCAATAACAACTAGACCAAAATCCCTAGAAGCATTTTCCAGAGCCAGTCATGATTCTCCTAGGGTCAGTTCCGATCTGGCAGCAATATCGAAATCATCTGCGTGTTCCAGAAGCTGGACTGAATGATGAGTAACGACCTTTAATGGATTTAGTCAATAAAGTACGAACTGAATCGTCTTGGAACTATGGTGTATCAAATCTTAATATAGGTGTGGAACGTTGCTATCTTGCTGTTGAGATTCGGATCCTAATTTTAGCGATGGCGAGGAAGTGGCCGGAGTCCATGTTAGCTCCTCATTACATCTCAAATCCATAAGCGAAAATCTATGCCTTGAACTAATAAGTAGATGATAAATTTGTGTGGTAATGACGTTACTATTAGCTCTGAATTTCCTTCTTGTGGGAAGATAATCCTTTTGCAAGGGCAACAACTGCTTCCAACAATAAATCCCTTGGAAGCTGTAAAATTTGCAAGCCTTTTTCCATTGTCATTTGAAATCTCAAGGCAAGCTATGAGATCATATTATATGCTGATATTCATTACAGTTACCAAGTAAAATTTCCATGGCCGTGGGCCATTCATCCAGGCAGAAAGGCATCCAGAGTTTCATAGAATGAATCTTTCTCCTCATCCTCTGGCACTTTGATGGGGTATGCACATTTATTAAACTTCTTCTTCTTCTTTGTCTTCCTCTTATGCCATTAGCCAGCATCAAGGAGCCTCAATCCAGCGTAACCACTCTTCCCGGTCCCTGCTTAGCCGCTTTAACTACTCTTCCCAGTCAATGCTTAGCCGCTTCATCTCGTTGAGGAATTTGCATCTTTTTCTTCTAATTCTTAGGATATACTCTTGGTATGTAATTCTGGGGCGTCCGCGTGGTCTCCTTCCTGTGGGTTGATCCTCTAATACCTTTACAGGATTTATGTCCTCATTCAAGCGGCAGACATGTCCAAACCACTGGAGTTGCCATCTTTCTAGAGTGGTTTTAAGTTCAGTAACTCCTAGTTGCTCTGTAATGCTTTCGCTCCTAATGTGATCACTTCTAATTCTCCCAACGGTTCCGTGAAGGAGCCTCATTTCTGCTGCCGTTATGCGACTAGAGTGGCTGTCCAGCGTTGTCTACTTATTAAACTAAAGTTATAAAATTTTCCTTTTAGAAGAAGCATGTAGAGTTGATAAGTTTAAAGTCAATCACTTGTTGAACCACGCTTTTACCAACAAGGAAGCCAGTATGGAGGCAGTTATCACATCTGTTATAGATGGATTGTTTTTTTTTCCTTAAGCTACCTTGTCCAACCCACCTAATTTCTTGGATGGCAACTATGTCTATATGGTAGTCTTAAAAAATAGTAAAGAAGCGATTGAAGTGCACCAGGTCTATACCACGTTAAAATGTTCCAAGAAGTAATCGTGTAGTCCAGTTGAGGTTTTCAAGTCTGTCACAGTGGATCTGTCCAGCTAATCTATTTGGGACTTTGTTGATAACATAAATAGAAAGTGGGTGTAACGGTTCAGGCCCTACTAGATAGGTGGAGAGGCTGCCTTCTCAGCACTTCCTATCATACTCCTTCATCCAGAGAGCTACCTAGGAATGATAGTCCTAGGGTATGCCCTGTAGGTGACTTTACGTCAGTTTAAGTGAATAGTTTTGCTTATTGGTGCTGTGTACTGAACTGGAAAGCCCATGAGAGCATTAATCTCTGCTATTCCTGCACTAAGCTAGCCTCTGTGGGCTATTTATCAATTTTAATAACACCTTAATGACCATCGTGGTATATCAATTTTGTGATATCCTTATCAGTTTAACTGTCTTCCCCTTATGCCACAGCTGTCCATAACCTGAAGCCAAGAATCTTAAGAAAAATACTTTCAACACTATACATTTTGTTATCTTCAGGTTCTGAAGAGGATCTACGTCAACAAACACACATAGGTCTCCATACAAAAATAGATATTTATGTTTCACTGATCTTGGTAAAATGATGATCTTGGCAATCTTAATCAACCCATTTCTATTAAGTTCTTGGAAGAGATAATAAAGATTTTTGAGAGGAGCAACTTTGGCTACCGTGGGAAGTACTATCTATCTAATAGTACTGGTTAGAAAATAAACATTTAGACACACTTTGGCTCTCTTTGATAGAATGCAACCAAAAAATTAAAATATCACTTGTTGGCCACCATTATCTCACTCTATCAGAGAACATAGATAAATAAATACTGAAACCATTTCAAATTTATTCATGCCTGTCATAGTGGTTTCTCCTAGGGTTGGTTCTTCATTAATATATCTAGTATTTCACTGCAGCTATAGTATATAATACTTTATCTATAGTAGATGATCTATACCTATTCTTAAATAACGTTGAGTGAAGGAATGATAAGAAATGTATAAAGATGCAATGATTGCACTGATTGCAATATGAATTGGACTCAATTGTGCAATGGACAGGTTGTTTTGTGATAAGTGTTAAATGTTTGAATTTGAAGAAAACTGTGCAGAAGAACAAAGAAATGATGAAGCCTGGAAAGGTGTTTGGCAGGTGTCAGTAGTTGGAGAGAGGTCCTAGGAGAGAAAAGAAGAAAGAACCATCACTGGAGGTTTAGGATATAAGGACGGAAGGCTGAGAGAAAGGTCCACTCTACTGGAGGATTAAGAAGAAGGTCAAGCCTACTTACTGTTTTAGGACTTTCAAGTGATTAATTATTTACAGTTTGTACAAATAAATTAGGTTTTTTATTCAGAAGTGGATGTTCTCTTGTATTTAATTGTCTTATATGCCTCAACATCTGACAACTGAAGATCGACAAACCAGTTGAGTCAATTCATTTTAAGTGTATTTGCTCATCCCAATACTCCATATATATACTTATTATTTCTAGTCACTCAATGTGACAAAAGAATTAGGTTCCGGAATTTCCAACAGCAGTAAACACGCTCAAAAATTTTGGTTAATTTAGAAAGGATATATAAATAGGAAATATATATATATATATATATATATATATATATATATATATATATATATATATATATATATATATATATATATATATATATAAGAAATATATATAGATATAAATCTACTTAAGTCATATATCGCAATTTGAAGTAAAAAGAAACAAACCCGAGAAGCCTGGGTCTCATCTGAGACCACTCAGCTCTGTGGGAAACAAAAAATGAATACAAACAATTTATCTAGCAATTGTCAAATCAATTCCTATGTTAACTAATCCAGTCGGCGGCAGGTTTTGGTTCCTGGTTATTATCAATCAACACTTTTCCTCTCTTCCCTGCATTTATATCTGGAAGCTTGCATCCTCCTGGTCAGAGAAGATAACCCAAAGGTGGATATTCTCTGTTTCTTATCTCTGTATAATTGGTGTATAAGTCATGTACGATTTGTCAATATAGATGTTCCTCTAGCCAGGAGGAACAGGGACTGTCAAGAGCTTCTTAGAATAGCTAAAACTCAATGTCAGTAATGGTTGTTAAAAAGTTAATAAAATTTGCAAAATATAAGATTAAAAATACACATTCAATAATTAAACAACTGTACATGTTGGTTTCTTATTTAATTTTATTATTAATTGATATGATTTAACATATAAATGTACGAACAATTATATTGATATTTTTTAGTATAACAGAAATAGTTACCACTCCAATTGCTTCCATGGCAAAAATGGTTATTGAAAAAAACATGGGCCACTCCGTGAAATAGGCAGCTTGTGGCATATCAAGAGGAGATTGAATACCATCAACGAGATAATACATAGTTATTCCTATGCTGATTAACATAAATCCATTAGCTACCAGTGATACAGGAGCAAGTGATTTGAGATCCGGAATCCAAGTCAACAAAATTAGAGGTATAAGGAATGCAGATATGTATATTCTTACATTGTAAGAATAACCAGTATGACATTCTATTACCTAAAATTGATGAAAGTATTTAAATTAACATAATATTAAGGATTTCATCTTAGATATGTAATTAAGGAATAAAGGAGATATTAAAATGACAATTTATATTAATTGTCATTATGCATTGACCATAAAAATACATAGGATATACACTGCCTAGCATTAAATATTTTATTTTATTTATGTTAAATTTAAAATAATAGATATCAATATTTTATAAACATTAATGCTGGCAGTTGACAGAATCTTGGAATATGCTAAGGTATTTTTCATATTTTTGGAAGGAATTGCACCAAACAATTGTTATTTGTTGAGGTTGAATAGTTTAAAAAAAATAAAGGTAGCAGAGCCAACACATAATTACAATCTCAGAGATATGTGTGGACTAAGGAATAAGGATGAAGATCTATGTTCTACTTTAGGATTGACACCTGCAAAGAATTGAAATGCAGATATGACAGAGGTTGACCCTTTACAAGTATCTGTCAATTCTTTGCTTGTGAGAAAGATCAAAAACGTTGTGAATTAAATTGACATATGATAACCACTGTGAGAACAAAATATAATCTTCTAGCAAGATATAGGCCTCATTTAATAACATTATTATTGGAAATAATTAAAAATATATGGAAGGAGGAAGTTGTCTGCTGCTAAAGCAAAAAGAGAAGGGAAAGATAAAAGCTTATATGTGACAATTTTAACTAAAGAAACATTTGATCAGAAGGTGAGAAAGAAAAGTCTACACAGAAGAATTAATCAATGGGATGTAGTGATATATACCCCCATAAGAAGTAAAGGTGTAGAGGTCTGATAAAGTGAAGCCCTATTTCCCATCTACAACAGTCACCCAAATCATATTTTATTTGTAAATCAGTCAGAAAAATATAACCAAGTTTATTAAAAGTAGAATATGAAATGAAATAGTGATTTGTAATAAAACCTTCCCTGTCTCAGAGAAATCTACAATTAATTTTTGGTTGATTGAATGCCTCAAAAATTAATTTGGTTTTAAATTGAGCAACATTTATTAAAGCTTATAGAATAGCAATTGATACTTATGCGTTATGAATCAAAACAGAATAAATTCAATTATATACAAAGAAAATTAGTTATTAAAATTACCTGTTGAAAATTTTGAGCTATTATAACAGTGTAAACACTGAGTGATCCAAAATATGTTGCAAATAAACCTACAACAATAGAAATCCTGAAAGTAAACAAATGATCACAAATTAATTAAATATTTCTGATCAAAAATATTTTAATATTTATATTTATTAATTATAAACATATATATATTTGTCCATGTATATATAATTATGTATATATATACATGTATATATAAATGTGAAATCAGTTTACAGTTAATAAGATGTGTGAAAAATCTATGGCCAATACAAATTCAATTTTTTATAAAAATGATAAATGTTTCAATTTAATAATGTTTTTATCTTATTAACTGTAAACTGATTTCACATTGCAGACATCATAAATATGATACATATTAAAATTAGTATTATTTTCAATTAACAACAAGGCAAGAAACTAATCCATTGTGTTGATGGTTTTTCATGCTACCATATTGTTTAAATATCACTACTTTTTTATCCACTTCAGTGTGTACTCTTTATTATCAATGTCAAGAGCTGTTTTATAAAATCTAAACATCTGAGATTATCTGTGGAAATGGTCCTAACATTGAATTTTTTTTTTTGTAATTAAATTTATCATTCCATATTTCATAATTTTTTTTTGTTTTTTATTTAATGAAGTTTTATTTCAGGGAATAGCAATGTATCTTAGATCTCACCAACATAAAATTATAATTTTGCATCAACGAGTACTTAAAATCAGGGAAATTCAAAAAGTAGATGAAGGCTGTATTTTTGGGAACCCAATTTTCGAGAAATAGATCAATGCTGAAGAGGAGCATATGCAACACTGAGATCGCAAAAGACCCAGGCCCCTGTATCATCACGGCGCCTACATCATAGCTGAGCAATTTGTGATTGAGATGCGTGAGTGGGATCATGACCATTGATCAATGATTAGTTAAAAAATTTGCCCTTAATCATTATGTTTAAATAAATGTGGGTTAATAGGAACAAAATCCAGGACCAGATTCTTTAATGCTAGGAATAACTTAGCATAGGCTAGTAGCATAACCCAATTGTTAGGCTAAAGATGCACTGATTCTTTAGGTTGAGGGAATACTTAGACTTACATATACCCAGAGTACATTACGTAAGAACTAGCTGGATTAACTAATAACGGACCATATGGAAAAATGGGCTATATCGGTAGCGCACAGACGGATCTATGGGGGGGAGGGCTTTCGGGCTGAAACACCTCCCCAAATTGGTAAAATATAACCATGTTTTATGAAAAAACTATCTCTAAAAGTATTATTATTCATCTTATTACATTTAATAGGACTTAAAGAATCACTCAAACACCATTTCATATAGGTACTTTATAGAAAAACATATTTGTGTGGCGCGATAACAGTGACGATCTGAAAAACTGTTATTTATTTATTAAAAACTGATATTGCTCTCGGCTGCCATAACCCTTCTATTACTTCTCTATTCCATAATCCTTCTATTATTTACTTCATTCACCATTATATTTTCCTAATTCAATTCTGCTCCCAGGTAGATAAAACTGCGCAGTCTTTAAAATTTATATCCACCTATGATCAGTGCATCAGTAGTCTGCCCTGGCCCTCCAACTTTCATATACTGACCCAACAATCTTTCGCATTAACAGTAGTGATATATACTTAATAGGAAAAATTCAACTTTTCGTTTGTTCTGAATTAACTGTAATATGAAAATATGTGTGAAGTTCACACAACTTTGATATTTAAGGATGAAATCGAGACCACGACGAGCTAGTAGAACTTCTATAGATACATTGCAGACACCAAATCCACTTTAAAAACTTTTTTTATCTGTCTCTATGTCCGCATTGCAACGACATTTTGTCAGACGTAAGCTCAGCAATGACTTATTGTAGACTTTTGAAATTTTTACATTATATTTAGGTTTGCTTAACTTGAAATATAGTCTTTAAATGAAAACAAAATATTGAGTAGAACCGAAGTTATGAATTCTTGAGTAATTTGTCTAGAGATCCCGGTTACTTACTTCAATTCCCATCCCAACTTACTCTATCGCGAGCCACATTCCGATTCAACTTCCCGAGTCTAACAAATATAGCCAAACGAATTAGCCGGAAATTAGGAAAAAAACTCCCAAAAAAATCACCCCGCCCGCCACAATATTCAGATCAAGTTCTAATTTTACAACAGGGCTTAAATGGCTAATTTTAAATATTAGCTTCCCTTAGAGTACCTTCAATTAATTAACTAAAGGAGAAATAAGAAACGGTATCGTAACGAAGAATATTTGTAATTGAGGAAGCAAAGGAATAAGAGCGAGCCCGAGAAGTTAGAGTCTCGCAAAAGTCTTCCAGTTAGGTAACTACTGGAGCTAATAGGTATTAGCTTACTACTATAGAAATATTACTGTAATTGCTTAGATAGAAGAAACTTAACTAAGCCCGAATGAATAATTAGAAGAGTTAAATGCAAAAGTATATTGATTATACTAAATCTTTACATATAGTAACTAAAATTGTCAAGTATTGGTAACTATTTTGCCTCAATTTTTATTCAAAAAATCGATTTTTTTTTGCAAAGTGAAAGACCAAGACCGATTTTGGGTAATACTAAACATGAGGTTAATATAATATGGACTCCGACAATACTATGTGAATGTACATAAGCGGTTTTCATAAATGCTATTGTTGTTATTATTTAATATTTAATTACCTAGATTACAGCGATATAAATATTCAAATTTGTGTATATGATGGTAATTGTATAAATAAAAATACCCACAATGAAATATACATAAATATAGCGTCTATAATTTTTACTTTCACTTTCCCTTTGTCTAAAAATACTTATTTCTGCTAAGAGGGTGGTAAGTGAAATTTGTGTGATGCTCGCACAGCACCAGATTTTTTTAATAATATCCAAGACAGTCATAACAAGGTTTAGCTGTCGATGCTGCAATACAATGCATAGATGTATAATTTTTTTTTTTGTATTTTTGCTCAAAGGATGCTCCACCTTCTTTTCCTATCATGGTGGAACATCAGTCGAAACCTAACCCCACACACTTATCAGGGTCTATGTATAAGTTTGTCAAAAACTCTTGAATGACTTTGATAATATTTTTGACATCAAGTTTTTTAAGCTCTATAAATCCTAAAAATACTTCTTTTAATTGATTTTTATCAAAGAAGCGTTAACCAATAGAAATATTTTCTTTCCAGGCAATTTATATATATACGTAATTTCGTAAGCAAAATCTTATAAGCTCAAGCTTCTTTAATCCGTGCGATAATATGATATCAAATTTTATATATATTTATATATATATATATATATATATATATATATATATATATATATATATATATATATATATATATATATAGATAGATAGATAGATAGATATATAGATAGATGGATAGAAAGTAATCTTTATTCTGGGACGAGGTCCCTTATGAATAACAGTTATGAACAAAAAAATAAAAACCACATCTGGCCATAAATTACATTAATCAATATTAAAGAAAATATACAGTATCTCAGTAAAAGTATATTAAATGAAGTAATAATAACACCATTTTGAAAAAAAAAAAAACATTATTTAAATGGAAAAACAAAACAAAATAATGTAAGCATGGCTGTTTTTTAAAATTAAAACTCAATCAATTTTAATAACCATTCACCTCAGTCAAAATCTGTTTCGCAATATTTCTTTCATTGTATTACGTCATTTTGGGATGTAAGAAGGAATTGGTAGAGATGATATTTAAATAAGGACAAGGAAGAGGCATGGCGGATATCAGACGGCAAGGAATTTCAGAAGGCAGTGGATCGGACAATAAAGGAATATTTAATGTCTTAGTTCTATGGGAAGGGATATATAGGCCGGAAACACGGGGTCTTGTTTTCTGGGAGTGGACAACGGGTTTGAACTGTAGGAGACTGTAGATGTAGGAAGGGTGTCGATCGTTTGGAATAGAAAAGATCCAAGGAAATATTGTTTGCGTAAAGAAGGGAAGAGCCACTTTAACTCATCGTAAAGGTGGGACACATGAGACCGCCTCGATGTACCGAAGACAAATCTTAAGCAGGTATTCATGAGTCGTTTCAATTAGTGGGCGGGGTGGCCGAATGGGCAAACGCGTGTGCACTGCACCACCGTTGCCCGGCAACCTGATAAATGAATCAAAGATATAAAAATAGACACGAGTTCGCGTCCCGGTGCCGAGGGAGTCTTTTAAATCCCCGCCCACACCCCTGGCCCCGGAAAATCCCGTATAGCCTTAACGGCGGGGAAAGGAAGTAAAAAAAAAAAAAGAGTCGTTTCAATCTATCCTCGGATACCGTCGGGATGCCTCCGTACACCACACAGTCGTAGTCAAAGTGGGGGAAAATAAGAGAGGATATCAGGAGCTTGCGGATGGATTGTGGGAGTAGGTGGCGGGAGCGATGAAATAGCTTAAGGGTACCTATTGACTTACGGGAGATAAGGGTGATATGGGGTTTCCAGGAGAGGTTTTCGTCTATGGTGATTCCTAAGTTTTTAACAGAGGAGCTGAATGTGACAGGATGGTCGTTGATGACTAAAGGAGGAAGGAAGGAGATGGATTTAAGAATAGAACTGGAACCTATAATAATGGCCTGAGTTTTCATCGCGTTTAGCTTTAAATTATTCAGACTTGCCCAGGCACTGATCCTATCAGCAACGCCGAGCGTGTTCGATATATATATATATATATCGAACACGCTCGGCGTTGCTTAGAATGGTTACCTATAGCAAGCGCCTTAGCCCGCACGGCTACATCAGCGATAGGTAATCTAGTTAAGCAACGCCGAGCGTGGTTAGCCTTCTCTCTCATATTATACATATATATATATATATATATATATATATATATATATATATATATATATATATATATATATATATATATATATATATATATATATATATATATATATATAATCGTGTGTATGTGTAAAGTTACGTAAACCACTTATTTAATTGTGCGTATAGGTGATCGGTGTATGACTAAATAATTAAAATTAATCACCATTTTCCTGTCCTTTGAGACCGCTGAACAGCCCTAATAAAAATCTACAGCTTAGTTTGAAACTTAGGCAAATGATAATTAGACAAAACCCTATCTTTCAGACAATGCGTTTGCGGGACTTACTGCTGTTTAAACCACCCTTTCAGACAGCAAAAGCATGAATTATGAGAGTTGAACTGAGAGCGACGGTGGTTGTGAAGATGATATTGGGAATTTTTCGCAAAGGCGGCCACAAGTTAAGAACATTTGAAAAATGTCCGTGTACCTTCAAAGAATTATGATTTTACATCAGATGACTAACAATTTAATGGGAAAATTTAATCACCACTGGTTGGAAACATGTTCTACCTTTGTTAGCTTATTCAAAGCGGCTCAATGGTACTTTCTATATGCTTACAAAATTTCAATAAATTTTGCCCAACTCTGTTGGAGAGTCCATAAATTACATAATCCTCTAAGAGTTAAGTTGAATGCAATATACCTCGCTGATGTTGAATACTTTCTTCCCCATTCAGGTCCATTTGCAAAAATAGCTTCACTTACTTCTGGAAAGGTCAATTCTGTTACCCTCATTTTCTTATAAGCAATATGAGCACATTTTACCTGTAATATAAAAAGCTTGATAATCCATTTACTGCAGAGTTAGACGGATATATTCGATGGAGAACAGCTGGGATTATTGGCGTAGGGAGGTGGCCTCATCGCCCGGTCATTGTACCGCAAATAGCCACTGGTCCTCCAGGTAGGGGAACAGTACACTGACACACATACAGTACACAATCTACAGCACACTACATACACCCACACACTACAGACGAAGGACACCCATAGTGCACACCCTAGAATCACATTCCCTAGGTAGCCGCTCCGGAGGGAGTGTAGGTCTGCAGGCACTAAGGTGGCAGCCTCACCAGGAGACTAGGGCACGTAGTAGGGTCGATAGCCCCACTGCCCGAAAACTCAACCATCAAGAAAGCGAAAACCTCGGAAATTCATGAAGATTCACGGAAGATTCCCGGCAAACGTCATAGGTTCAATATTGGATATTGGAATATTCTTTCATTGTATAGATCCGGAGCACTCAATGTGCTCTTGAACGAAATAGATAAATACAATTTGGACATAACCGCCATCCAAGAGATCCGGTGGATAGGCCATAGCACGCTAGAGAAAAGAAACCACACGGTATTCTACAGTTGGAACGATCGGGTACACACCTTCACACACCTACGACGAGATTCATCGTAAGGAAATCATTCAGAAGATTCGTTATCGGATTTAAGCCAGTAAGTCCAAGGATATCTGTGCTTAGAATTCGCGGGAGGTTTTATGATTTCTCAATCCTTAGTGTACATGCCCCATCTGAAGAAACTAATGATGATGACAAGGATGGTTTCTATGACCTGCTCGACAATACGCTGGACACCCTACCTCGTCGCGATATGAAAATCATTACCAGAGTCCTAAATGCTAAAGTCGGTCGGGAGGATATCTATGTCCCAACCATCGGTAAATACAGTTTGCATGAATAGAGGAATAACAACGGCCGGCAATAAGTCAACTTTGCTGTTTCTCGAAGCCTTAAAATTGTAAGCACAACGTTCCCGCACAAAAACATTCACAAAGGTACCTGGACATCGCCTGATGGGCTCTAAGTCAACCAGATTGACCACATCCTCGTAAGCAAGAGGTACGTTAGTAGCATCACTGATGTCAGATTGTTCAGAGGCGCTAACGTTGATGCTTACCATTTCCTCAGGATCGCCCACGTTGCTTCAAGAATTGCTGTTAACCTATCCAGGGTCAGGGCAAAACCAAAAAAGTTTAACATTGACAAGCTTAAAGAACCTCAGACTAGGGAGGTTATTATATAGGAAGATAAGAAATATCACCAAGTCCAAGACCATATCACCAAGAAAAGCGCCCTGTTGGACCAATATTCTTTGAGAGAAGAATAAGGAATATTCTGGGACTAGTGTTGCCTAAAATTGGTCTTGGTCTTGCAATTTGCAAGACCAAGACCAATACCGCCTAACTATTGTAAGACCAAGACCAAGACTGTTAAAAAAAATCGATTTTTTAAATAAAAATTAAGGCAAAATAGTTACTAATACTTGACATTTTTTGTTACAATATGTAAGGATTGATATAACCAATATACTTTTGCATTTAACTCTTCTAATTTTTTACTCTGACTTAGATTTCTTCTATCTAAAAAATTACAGTAATATCTCTGAAGTAATAAGCTAATTGGTAACTGAAAGACTGTTTGCGAGACTCTTGCGCAAGACTAAGACTGAGTGCGCAAGACCAAGACTCGTGTTGGTTCACATTTGGGAAACACTACCTGGAACCAATGTATGATGATGGAATATGGCTGCTTAGGAAAAATATGGTCTGTATAAATACAAAGACCTGAATATCTTGACCAGCATCAGAATTCAAAGATTGGTTTAGTCATTTATTAAGAATGGATCAGAACATGATGCCAAACAGATTTTATGAAGGAAACTTGATCGAAAGTTGAGTAGAGAAAGACTGATGGGAGAGATAATGTACTCTAAGACAGACGGCAGTTGAAGGTTAAAAAGTCCATCCAATATAGAAACAAGTGGAAAGTGGAATTTGAAAATGTTGATTGGAACTGTCTTCATCGGCCGATTTGATCCAGGCTCCTCGTTGAGTTACCAATCTCCTTTTATCTTTTATCTATCCACCAAACCACAGGCACTGACTTTGGAAGAGGGGAGAAGAGAGCTAGGAGGGAAGCAGTCATTCGAGAATTTTAATTTCACTAATTATGTTTTACTATTAATTTTACTAATTTTATTATTATTCTTTGCGATAGTTATTATTTATTATTTATTAATTACGACAGACCAAATCTTCTCAGCGAAAACGATGATGGAGAGAGGAGCTGAGTATAATATCCAGACCCAGCAACTCTTTGTGGATTTCCGTGGTGCCTATGGCAGCACGATTCCAGAGGAGCTTTTGATAAAATGATTGCTTTCGACGGCCCTCCGAAGCTAAACCGCCTTATCAGAATCACTACGAAGGCTACTCAGTGCTCAGGGAAAGTATTAGTCGACGCACGTCGGTTTTTTCATGGCCACAAGGGACGCAGACAAGATGATTCTTTTAGTAGGCATACTTTTTCATAATGCATTGTAATGTGCCATAAAAGAGTTGAAAATCCAGATTTAACAAATCATGCAAAATCCTAGTTTATGTCGATGATGTGGATGTCGTTTGACGCAGTTTGCTGAGCATGGCAAACCAAGAAATTATATCCTACAATATCCTAAGAAGAGGAGAATATCTAGAAGGAAGAGTAAAAGCTGGAGACTACAACTTAGAATATGTCAAGAAATTTATTTACGTTGGAATCTTGTTGAACTCGATCAATAATATGCAACTAGCAATTCAGCGGCGGACTATGGCAGGCAATAAATGCTATTGTGAGCATCAGAATCGTTAAAACAGCAATATCCCTTTCGAAGATCGCAAAGATACATATCTACAAGATTCTAAACAAGATCGCCTTCACATATTCGTCAGTGTGTAGGACGCTCAAGAAAGTACCAATGTCATCTCTATTCAGTTTCGAAAGAAAGATTTTGAGAGGGATTGTGGGGTCTGAGTTGGGAGGAAAAAGTGCGAGATAATGAATCCCTACAATAACCTTGATATCGCCCATTATTAAAGGTTAGACGTCTAAGATTGGCACGGCATGTTGTACCTATGATTAATAATGAAAACCCCAAAATGGTAATGAAAAAATACTCGAAAGTTGAAGAGTTGTAAGGTCTTGCCTAGGTTGGGTGGAATATATGATAGTAGGTACTCATAAGCTATTGTGAATAAAAAAATGGAAGGCAGCAGTACAAAACCGAGAAGGTTATGAGCTCCGACTCTGGGTGGGTCCTGACTGTGTCTGAAAATTTCATGAAAATCGGACTAATGGTAGTAGGTGATACGCCTGTAACATGAATTTAACTACAGACAGAAATATACGGAATCAATTTGTTCCTTGATGTCTAAAAGGTAAAACGCGAGTCAAAATTTTTTTTTTTATTTTTACCACAAATTGTTTTTTAATCTCCTGCACGATTAAAGAGTAGAGAGGAAGCAGACAAAAAGATCATCCCCGGTTCTTATTTCTCACGTTTTGAACCGACATTAACTTCTGATTTTAAAAATTCCTTTTTTTTTTTCCAATGTCCATCGGGAAGAGGGAAGGGAGAGTGGGCTTTGGTACTCGACATTAACAAAATCAATTATCTTTACCATTATAAAATAATATTTAAAAAATACAGAAGAATATACTATGGGAACGCCCCGACGGGTGTGCAAAGCACCACCGTTGTCTGGCAACTTGATACATAAGATAACTGGATAAAAAAAGTCAGGAGTTCGCGTCCCGGTGACGGAGCCATTGATCCCCACTCTCACTCCCTGGCCCGGAAAAAACCCGGACAGCCTTAAAGGCGAGGAAGGGGAGTAGGCAAAAAAAAAAAAAAAGAAAACTAAAGAATATGTTATTACTTTTACAATTTTTGCTCTTAATGAATAAAATTATATTTATTATTCACATTTCTCATTTTCAATATTTTGTCTGCTGTTCCTCATAGAATATGAAATTTACCCTAATGTTTAATGATTAAATTATTCAAGAATTACGCTTATAATTGTTACAATAATAACAGTAACATCATTATAATTTTAAGGCGCTATTAATAAATTACTATGAATACTGTTGACGGAATATGAATCCAACAAATTTCTATAAGTTAAACCATTTAAGAATATATTAATTTTATTCTTACCAAAATAAGAGCACAATGAGTACATATGATTGCAACAATGACTGTGAAGATAACTCCTAAAGATAATCCGCTATTCTTGAAGGCAAGAGGCAAACCTAATACACCAGTTCCTACAGCCGCCTTCAGAAAGTGAATTAGTGTGTCAAGGTCACTGTTGGAACAATATCAAACAATTAATTGATTGGAAATGATCATAATAAAGTTAAGGTCTAATGAAGGTAATCTATGTAAACATGTACCAAGTTATGAAAGCGTAGCTTAATTACCACGCTCATCCTTATAAATTAATTTACCATAACCAGGCAATACAGTTATGGGGAGGGGATATATAGGGTGGGGTGTCATTTCTGGAAATATCTTACCATTGCTTCTAAAAGAGTTTAGCTTTTAGTGCCTATGAAGGCTCTGAAATAAGTAAACCCTTTAATTTAAAATGTGCAATTTTTCAAAAGACCGGTAGTATCAGGATTCAAACTTACGTAGTTGGATGATCTCTTTTTCTTTCTTTATCAAATTCCCAATCATCATTCTCTCCCATGCTTACGATGGAAACCTTTTATCTGAAACATAAATGTTTGCTTAATAATAATGTAGTAACATGCAAGAACACCAAGTTACAAGCCTGAGCATATTTTTCATAATTCAGAAACCAACAAACTCTAAACAGTAAACTTAGTAAGATCATTTAATTTTTATTTATTTATAATAAGCTTTATTTGTTTTGAGAGAATAACCTCATACAAATAGAGTATATCTCTATATTATAAACATTATTACTCTAATGGTATTACAATATTTTTTTTCCTTTTTATAAAACATAAATATTACCAAAATCTTAAGGATAACTTACAGATCATATTTATTCAAAAGTCAAACAGTTAAAATAATGCAGATTATTAACATTAATATCAAATCTAAAATTGTCTATAGAACATGTAAACAACAATAATAAGTACATTTTATTTTTTAAATATTAATATTAAATCATGTTCTAAAATTAAATTAACAGATCATTCCCATAAACAAAGGAACAATCTTGATTGATAGAGATTGATAGAGAACAATACCTAAACAATATGTTTAATATTTAATGTAATTCATGCCGACATTCAATCTACATTTTTGCTACAATACGCAGAAAACAATATTCGAGATTACCCTACAAAACATCTATGATTAGATATATTGAAAAAATATTATATATATATATATATATATATATATATATATATATATATATATATATATTTTAAAACATTTTGTAAAATTTTATCTTATTATATATGTAAATTTTGTAAAAAATAAATATTATAATTTATTTTTGCCTTCCTTTTTTGACTGAGCACCCGAACTATTCTTCTCTTCATATATATTTTTTGTTCTTCCCTACCTCGCCTTTTAGGCTATACGGGATTTTCCCAGGTAGGAGGATGAGGGCGGGGAATTTAAAATCCCCCCCCCCGGCACCGGGACGCGAACTCGTACTTTTTAAATCTTTTCAAATATGTAATCCGGTTGCCAGGCAACTCGCAGTGCTATGCACACGCTTTAGCTCATTCGGCTACCCCGCCCCCCATATATATATATATATATATATATATATATATATTTAATTTTCTCATATCTTCCTATAGAAGATTGGCTTATATATTTCGATCCCATTAAGATTTCCCATATCCTGGTGAATTCTTACTATTAAATTTTTATGTATTGGGCATTTAAATAATAAATGAAAAAGTGTCTCTTGTTCCATGGTGTTGCACACTTTGCACTCGAGTTGTGGATTGATTTTTAAAATTTTATTATTTACTGAAAACTTGACTGTGTATTTTCCTGAGAGGCAGATCTGCATTAATATTCTAATATATTTGAAATTAGCCGGCATTAACAAATACTGGGATCCTATCATGTTTAAAAAAAACGTCTGCCAAGCAAGGTCAGTATAGCTTCCTCGCAGTTTTCATTTGCTAAAAAATATCTATATTAAAAGGTCTAAAAATTTTCTTATGAGAATAAAATCTTTTCGAAAATTCAGTAATCCCTCAACATATAAGGGCTTGATATCCACGAGTTTTTTTTTTATCAGCAAATACTAAAATACGAAAAGTTCTGCATTTGCAGATTGCATATTTGATATTTCGTAATTAAAAAAAAAAAATCCCCTTGCATACCGAAGTATATAAAAATTGATTGTTTTACAGGAGAGCACAAAAACTAATTATTTCTTTCTGATTTATTAGTATAATTTTATATTTTACTGTCCTCTGCTATTTTGCTTAGTAGTAGACTACTTATATCGATTGCAGACTACATAATGTCAAAAATAGAATAAAAATTGAAAACTTTTACATACGACCTTTGCACTAACAGTAGTGATATATACTTAAGAGGTATGTTTTCACTCGTACAATGGATGGAACAAAAAATCCATAAGAAAAATTCAACTTTTTGTTTGTTCAGTGTTAACGAGACCAATACTTTTCTTCAGTAAGAACAAAACTAATTAAGCTGGAGTATAAAAATATGAGTGAAGTTGACACAATTTTGTTATTTAAGTCGAAAAACGAGATCACAACGAGCTGGTTGAAATTCAATGAAAATAAACACAATCACAAATAAGCCTTTTTTTCACTAATTAAGAGTAAAAATTACTTTAAATTTGCTGGATATTACACGAAATCTATGTACCGAAAATAAGTGTAATTCCAGTAACTTTTGGAATCGTCCAAACAATACCGTATAAATTAATTTGTTGAATAAAACCTAAAATTTTTAGTAAATAAAATCAAATGATCAGTGCCTTCCTCATTTCATAGCCATTATATTGTTAACAAGTATTTAGATTAATTTTAATTATTAAATGGAATTCAAAGAAATTGATACTAAGTAATTCATATACTGTTCTCTAAATTCCCTCAAAATTTGGGTCAAATCGAATGTGCTGTTTTCAAACTATAGGCATATCAAATAACACATTTCCTCATCTGAAAGCAGATTTTTTTTTTTTAAGTATTAGATAGAATTTGATAAAATTGATGCATATTTCATTTTACGTTTAAGTTATGTGCGGTTTTAGAGATATAGACGTATCAAGGAAAACACGTTTGCGCATATATAAGAGAAAGCAATGAACATAATTCAATCAAATTGACCCTACATTATTTTTTCACAAACGCCTACATTTTATCCAACTTTGAGCTAAATCGAACTAGCCGTTTCTTAAATATTGGCACATCTACAAAAATGCGTAAGCGGAAGTGATGGTTAGAATTTAATAAAACTGATATGGGACCATCGAGACACCAACTCACACAATCTCTGAAGATTTCATGAACATCGGATGAACGGTAGTAGGTGATTTGCCCGTTACATCGATTTGACCACAGACAGACAGACAGACACCGAACCAAATTTGATCCTTGATATCTGAAACGTAAAACGCGAGTGGAAATTTTCGATTCTGAGCACACATTTTTTTTTAACCTCTCGCATGAATACAATGCTTTCCTACCTTCGGTAGTGAGGAAGCTATAAGGTTGAAATGTTCACTGTAACTTGAGCTATACAATGCTTTCTTGTCAGCCCTTTTTTATGATGCCAACCAAAATTATTATGATGTTTTACTCTTAAGTCAATTTTTGTAATAACTTTCCTCACAGCCTATGAGATATATTGCAAGGACAAAAATTTAGAGTAAAACGTCATAATGTCGTTTTATATTTATTTAATATCATGTCAATATTAGCTCTAATTATGGCCGTAAACTGTGGTAAATTATGGTTTCGTAAACTAAATCCCCTTCCTCTGTAGTATCTAACAATACTTTCAGCTGAGCACACTGATTTTATTTCGATAGAGCAGGCTTAGATTGGTAACATTGGGTTCTTAACTTATCGAAATATATTTAAGGATATCTAGATATCTAAATTCCTCTATTTTCACAAGTCTACCAATCAATCCAAGAAATACTTCATAACATTGAATGAACCAATATGAACAGGAACTGTTACTAAGCGTATTAAAAAGTCGGGTGGATTTACGAAGAGAAAATATCTTTTTATAAACATTTATGTTGACCTTTTCTAAGAGATCCATGTATCGGATACTTCATAACTGGGCACAATATAGCAAAGCTGTTTTATGTACTTTTTTTTTCAATTTTTCTCTCGCCTTCCAAAGGTTTGTTTTGGCTTTTAAAATTTTTTTTTTAAACAAATCATATCAGACCTACAAAAATGGACACCTAAATAAGTTTATATGCTGGCTGTATCAGTCGGTTTTCCTACTAAACGTAAACTATTATATTTCTTTGGGCATTCGTTGGCAAAATTTAAAATGTTCGTTTTATTAATGTTTATGATTAGTTTATTGTCTCTGTCATATTCATATAGAGCATTAATTTTTCTAAAAGGTCTTACGTTTAAGATTACTTTTAATTATAAAAGAAAATGTTACATTAGCGTTTAAAAGTACCTCTTACAAACTAAATTTCAGTGTCGAGTCATTTGAAATCACCCAATTTGAATTAATTTTGTTGCTGCATTTTTAATTTTTATAATTTTTTACCAGTTCTATATTTATTTGATTGTTTAAAGCAATAGTAAAAAAAATATTAAGGCTCACATTTTTTTTCGGCGGCCGTTTTTATTTATTTTTTTCGACTGAAAACATGTTTTAGGGAAATACCTGTAACTCTGGTTATTTTGTAGATATCAAACCAAAATAAAAACTGCAATAATTTAGAGTATTTTTTCTACATTTCTGTTGATCAATACATCATCTAAAAAGAAAGGAAAGTGGTTTAAAAAAAATCATGAAAACAGAAATAATAATTCAATCTTAAAAAACTTGTCCTTTTTTTTAAATTTCGTTATTGAGTATTATAACAATCTGTCTCTTGGACATTGGTTATAATGAGGTAGGATGACATTCACACTATATGTACAAAAAAAATAAAATAAATAGAACAAAATAATAATCAAAAGTATATACAATAGACAATAAAATAAAATAACCTAAAAAATAAGAAAATTAAAACTAAGGAAAAAAAAAAAACACATGCATACCTATATACAATCAGGCGAGGGAACTCCAGGAGAACCCTGCGCTACTCTCCCAACCGCGTCACTGGTACTAAAGCCAGCGGAGATTGGTCGAGAGCACTTTAGCCACATACACACATGTCTTGAGTGAAGAATCTGGCCATTGCCAGAACTCCAATTTATAAATCTACAAAAGGTCGCGAGGCCACTGCCGTTTCAACCTTCTTGGAGGATTATAGGGATGGGAGATGCTTGATAGGGATTGTGCAAGAGGATTTGGGTGGTAAGTAAGGTTCTGGTGAAATTTGGAGAATTTTTCTGGGATAAGGTCTAGGACAAATGGGATGTTAAGGTCATGATGTAGGGTTTTGTTGGATACATAGAAAGGAGCATCGACTATTGTTCGAAGGACTTTAGACTGGAAGGATTGGATGCGCTTGATGTTAGAAAATTTTGCTGATCCCCACAGTTCTAGTCCGTAAGTCCAAATAGGTTTCAGTATTGTCTTGTAGATCAGT